GTACTATTTTTGCCATTTCGTTTTCATTCCTTCTGGTGAAGCGGAATTTTTTAAATTATTTGACGGAAACACCCTCATTAAATAGAATAAGGCCGAAAGTCCTCTAGTTTTTTTTTCATTTCATGGCAACCGCGCAGTGGTTGAGAGGAAAGGAACGTTCACGATATCGAAGGACTAAAATAAAAGGATGATCCAGTGAAGAGAGAACTTACATCGGGCCTGTAAATAGGCACACCAGTCCGAACTTTTTCGATGATATCTGCGGCATTCAGATCACAATTTGGATAGGGAACTGATCGGAGGATTATTTCTTGCATTATTATCGCAAAAGAGAAGACATCTCCCAGTTGCGTTCCGGTTCTGCGCGCAACTGGGTCACGAAGTAACTCTGGCGCCGTCCATAAGAGCTCTGGTATCCAAAAAACACAAAACCCAGTTTGTTGTCTCTGTCGTCAACCGCATACAGTGCATATGTACAGATAAAGAGGAACTTGACTTATAACGCCTAGGTACCCATAAGGCTTTAACGAACAAAAATGGTTTCGGTGTGACTAGGGCTCCTCACCTTCGGGTGGTGGGGTTTCGAAGTGATTATAGAGCGCGCAGACATCATTTACTCCGTAATTTGTAATCTTGGGCACCCAGCGGCTGTTTATGACACAGCTTTTTGATGAGAGCATTCCATGCACTTTCACAACGGACTTGTGCAAATAAATCATACCCTACAAACAAAATTAATTATCATTGTACAAAGGTAACAAACGTGATTATGTATACTGAAAATAAAGTCAATCTGCGATCGATACTTACCCTAACCAGATTATCCATTAAAAAGATTCGAAAATCCCAGTCTAGCATCATGGAAGATTGACTGATGATATCCTACAATGCATCGTAACAATGATTACATTAATAATAATGCGCGAATTTTGCAAAATTTTGACAGGGAAAGTCCAGAAATGCGAATGCTATTTAAACTTTGAGATACTTAAAGTAATTTCTACTTTTCCAGAATCCTGCTAGCGTGACTTCAAACATGCATAATTCTGTAAAGCTCTTTTACTACAAACAGGATGCAGAGTTTTGGATTTTCGTTGTGTTTACGAGATTTTATTCGCTATTTCCAGATTAGTAAAATCAAAGTAAGCTGACGCTACTCACCTCCGAAGTAGCGAAGTTGTATTAGTTTGCGACTGAAAGGCCTATAAGCAAATAATAATTCTACTTTTGAAAAAGCGTTGAAAGATTGATCTCGTAACTCAGTTGCCCCGTTCTGCCTTAGCCGCCAAGGCAAAAGGTCCGTTCTTCAATTGTTAGAACCTTAAACTTCTGATCCATAGGTCGTGGGTCCGAGCCTCGGATGATGCAACACCATGGATTGCCTATGCTTGGCTGATGATGGCTAGTGAGCTAGAAATTACAATTTCAGTTTCCCTGGTCTTTGTTGGCAGTGTTCATCTTCCTACTTCTACAATGTCCGACCAATCTCCATGAAGACGGTAGCTGCCAATTTCGATGGAACTGCAATAGCCCCTAGAAGACATTTTAGAAACGCCGTATCTGATATACGGCCACTAGCTGAAGTTGTTACAGCCCTGTGTTGATGGGTTCAACTGTGAGTCGGGAAAGTCGAACAAATCTAATTTTTGTATGAGTGATTAAATTCTTTTTTTCAGTTGTCCTGTGCGTTTCAAGTCACAAATCCTCGGTAAAACTACACTGAAAGAAAGCCTAAGGTTGGAGCAAAGTAAAAGTGTCCCATTTTTTTGTTCACATATATGAAACCAATCCAATTAAATTTTTGAACTTTTTACTATCGTCCAATTAAAGCTCCCGACCACAGGAATCACTCAGGTAGTTCTACCCTGCCGTAGATCTCTGAACTAAAGTCGTCACAGTTAACGGTACGTAAAGCGAGCATCCAGAGGGACAGTTTGCTCCCCATTCTGCGCTCCAACCTCAAACAGAACGGTCAGTTCCAGCCTCGCAAGCAGGATAGGTAGATAAATGCTGCTATTGCTAAAAACTTTGATATCCAAAACCAGCGGTTACAGACCGTCATGCCATGGCTTCAACAAAAGAACGTCCAGCCCAAATATACTGGCCCAAGTGAACACTGATTTTCTCGTCTCTCACGACTGCTTGCATTTGTGCATCATTCGCCTCCAATCATCTTCGAGTCCGACTCACTCATGACCTTGCTGGAGGCGCTGGGATGAATCGCACGTTCGCACGTTTCAGACGCCATTCTCGTGGCTCCGGACATGCATTCTTCCAACCTATTCTCCGCTAATTTTTTTCAGAATACACTGTACTCCTCACCTGACGTCCCGCTTCTTCTCTTCTTACAGGGAACCGGGCTCGAAGGTCGTAGCGGCTAGAGTTTTCCTTGACAAATTAAGCCCCTGCGAAAGAAGTGCCAGGTGCAAAGCTCGGGTCTGGCGAGTCTGTTTATGAGCTAATGATGCCTCTGGTCGGCAAAAGTGTCGAAATTTCTAATTTCTGCAATTCGCGTCCTGTCAGTACCACATTCCCAAAATTAGAGATAAAGTTTTTTGAGTAAGTTTTCAGGCCTGCCGAACTAAAAGTCTCTAGATTACACTGTTGTATTCTATTTTCAACCGTGGGAGCCTTTGATTGCATTGCCTTCTCTCTGACAATTAGTAAGCGTTCCCAGCAAAAGAGGATCAGGACTCCTAGTTCCGGACTTTGGGACCAAATAATATATGACAGTTGGATCTCCAAAGACTTCCTTTGCCTGTTAGAGACGTCGCAAGAGAAGAAGAAGAAGAAAAAGAAGAAAAAACCGAAGAAGGGAATGCCGAGCAACTGCTTTTCCTTGACGTCCTCGGCACGCGCAGACCCAATAGAGAACTCATCGCCAGAGTGTATTGAAAGACGACTAACATAACACAGGTCCTCAATTACCATAGCTACCATCCAATGGTACATAAACGCGAGTGTATTACACCACTCCTTCAGAGGATAAAACACACTGCAGTTAACCTTAGGGACGAGTGCGAGAACTAAGTCATCTTTGAGACCAACTGGCAGGCACTGGATACCCCAAAAACTTAATCAGTCGCTACTTTCGTACGCGCCCGAGGGTAACAAACGGAGGAGAGCCACTAACACTCTGGCACCCTCTGGTGTACACCAAAAATGCGTCAGAAGAAAAGAAACGCATCGCTGCAGAACTCGGTGTGGGTATTGCTCATCGTCTGATAACTACCATGAGTTCGCGAATCATGCAAATAAAAGACCGACTAAAGGTACGTGAGCTATCCGGCGCTGTTTATAAAGTGCCCTTTCGCGACTATTCTTGCCAGTATACAGGACAGATAGGGCGGCGACGTAGTTCTCGAATAACGCAGCACAAACGGACAGCATGAGAAAGGCGACGCACTGCCCCAGATGGCTATCCGCACCCTGGTGGAGGGCCACGAATTCAGCATCACAGGAACACGGTTAATGGCATATGTCTGTAATAAGAGGGGGCGGGAAGTACTGGAGACCTGGGCATCAGACTCCAACTCAATCCGCAGACACGCTCATATACCAGTTTGTCATCATTTCCTCCGTTCTAGTCGCCGAGAAGCGCGCCTCAGTTCATG